TATTTTATATACATAGGTAGTTTAAAACTTTAAAAATATTTAATAACACGTTTGTCGCATTATCGCGTTCAGTTATTGTACTCAATGACATATTTTATGAATTTTTAATAAGTTTAAATAATAATAAAAAATTGTCTACCTACTAATTTAAGCGACTTAAAGAAAATTAATCGGCACATAGGTAGGTATAATATATTATGGTATTTCGTTGATTGTGGAATTATTGGACTGATAAAGAAGTGAAAAAAAAATGATAAGTGCACGTCATATATATACACATAATATATGCACTGCAGACCATATTGCACGATATATCACGAATTTAATATACATATAACAAAAATAAATTGCAAAATTGTACGATGAACGTCCAATTATATTGTCATTTAAACAATACAGACCTACTGAATCGCAGCTTATACTACACGGAAAGTCGCCAGATAAAGCCAATATGTTAGGTTCTTGAACAGATCCACACTAAAGGCATGTCTTCCTTTTTAATCATTCAGGTACCTTTACATTTATTTAAAAGTTAGTGTCCAGAACAGGTAACTATAATGTTTACAAAAATACAATTTGCTAACATAGTAAAATGTAGCACTTAAAGATAAAAAAAATCAATCTACTAAATTTGAATAGTATATTACGTTAGATAATTTTTCGAAATAATTATTAAATTAAATTTTGTCTTGAAAAACGTAATTTGGTTTATTTATTATCATTGATGAACTAATAGTGCATATACAAGAATGTCTTCACGCTGCACCCAGGCAAGATACGATTTATGATTTTCCATCCATCACAATATTAATATGCACAAATGCACAATGCAGGACGTACCTAGGTACCAACCATAGGTGACCGTGCAGCTGCAGTAATGGTTATGATTACAATGTTTAATTCTGAATCCAAAGTAAGTAACTACACACAAGTATTGATTATATTTAATTTCGAATATTACACCTGCGTACACGCAATAGCTAATTGATCTGAGAGAAGTGAAAATATATATTATTATTTATGCATTATAACGGACTTCTTGCCTTGGTTTGTTTTAAGAGTTAAATGTTAAGTAGGTATAACATTATTTGTTGGAGTAAGGTACATACATTTTTGTTACAACACGTTTAATAAGACCGATGAAATATTAAGTTATTTTTACACAACTTATGTAAATGGAGCTTGTAATTTATAGCTACTAATACGAAATTAATTCATGTTTGCCGAGACGTCTTCTGGTTTTAGGCCAACATTAGTTTAATCCCTTTTTTAAATTCGATATAACATATATTATGGTAACGGTAAGACCAATAACATAATAATTATTACTTATCGGGTATGTCGCAGGTGTGGAGGCTTGATAGTAAGTTCCAAATTATTCTCCATTTAAAAATCTCAATATATGTATTTGTGTAGGTATTCAAAGTATTCAAATTTATGCGACAAATGATAACACTTTAACAATTCAATTTCAAAAAAAATTTCAACAATCATATTTTAAAATATTCTTTGAGATTTGAAGAGAAGTAAACCTTGGCGATACAGCTTATTTTTTTAATGGACTAGAGTTTTTACTGTTAATTGTTAAGCAGATGATTTTTTTTGAAAACGTTAAGAAAAATAAATCTAAATAACAGTTCTCTGAGTTATTAAAATGTATAAACACTAAGGTCGAAGGACTTTATAGTCTTAGAAAATACGAGGGAATCTATTATTACAAAATTGTAGTTGTTAATATTTTAAAGCTATTATAATTTTATAAATTAAAAAATTGTCTGAGTCTTAAGTGTAGGTACATATTATGGCTAAATATTTACAAGTATATTTTATGTCTTAAGCATAACTATAAATCAGAATAAATCCCAATAATGGTTAAAATGCATGATTAGCGAATAACAAGTACCTATACCAAGTTTGTAATAATATAATATTAATATCACGGTTATGGACAGTTTGTAGAAACTATAAAAGATGTTGGCGTAATATTTGTAATCCGTGAATATAGATTTATATATAGATACGCAACATCGTTGTTTTACTAGGTAAAAAATAATTTCTACAATTTTTGATTATACGTTCCATACTCGCCTAATACCATAATACATGTTATTAGCTATTACCTAATAAAAGTAATTTATGCACAATAACTTAAATTTGCGAGGACAAATATTTCACTCGGCAAACTATCTTGCGCTGTAAAATGTTTATGTCTCGGGTTACATAATAATGTCATTACGAGCATGAATTACCTATAAAATATTTTCAGAATTTTTGAACCTAAACTTTACATTAAAATATAATTATACAAATGATTTTACCTAAGTGTTCGTACTACAACACAATAAATATTTCAAAAGGAAGCCGTTAAGAAAATTGTACCTACTCATGCCTATACTAAATAGGTACAGTGTGTGTAATTACTTCGACAGTTCAACAATATTCTCTTTGTTTATAGATGTAAGAAAGAGAACGGCACCTAATCAAAAATATAGGTAATTACGGTACATAATTTCGATAGATTAACCCGAAATTATACTAAAAGCCGTTTAAATAAAACGGTACCTATTCATTTAAAAACATGATAGGTAGGTGTATAATTTATTTAAGTGTTTTAATTTGTTATTTAAATTTTGTAACTATGGCATTCTTAACTTAGCAGTTAGCACAATACAAATTTCTATAAAATTGCATGGGTAAGATAATTATTAGATTTAAATAGATAATTACGTCTGCGTTAACAAAGATAGAATTATGTAGGTATCATTTATCTATTGATTATATCTTGTCCTGTATTTTTGGTTAACTTATTCAATTATTCATAAATCAAATTAATTTAACAACCATATCCATATACAGCATATATTATAGCTTATATTATATTTATGTTCTTACGACTTACTTAGATTAATTTAATTATTTAATCATTATTATTTAAGTTCTATCTTACTTAGAATAGATATTTACATTTTGAATTTAATTATGCCAAATATTTGTGTATAAAATAAGTAAATGATGCCCATATTATATATCACTACAGCAAATATTCAAATAAGTATAATTTTCAGGTACGATAAACTCGAAAAATATGATTAAGACGATGTTCAAACCATTATGAGTGTTCTATACAAGTTTAAGGTATTTTAACAATTATTAATACTTAATAGGTTTATGCAACCAACAAAAAATATTTTATATATTTATTGACTTTATATTTTCAAAAAGTAACCAATATTTGCTATTTAACATCTATATAAGAACAATGTGATCTATATTGGCTTAAAATAAAAATTGATAAAAGTAATTAGCCGATGGACTTGAAGAGCAAAAATAAAGTGTAACATACGGTAGGAAGAAGGTAAGTACTAAAATACTGTTTTATTAAAATAAAATAATAAATAATAAATAAAAAAAAAAAATTTGACTAAACTAGAAATGTAATAAATAAAAACGTCATAATATTATTTTATCATATAAATTTGTTTCATAAACGTATGTACACAAAATGTCCATATCATGATTCTAAGACTTATTGGATAAACTATGGGTATAGCAACTCAATTTTGAAAATGCCTGGAGGCGAACACCGTAGTACATATACATATCATATGGTAGGTACTGGGCAGTAGGCACGTTAGGTTTTTTAAATTAATGTATGTTTTAATAAAATTATAAAATTTGGTCATTACCAGTTATAATTTTTTGAAATTAATCTAATAAAAAATTACAGTTTAAATAGTTTAATGACCTGATTATTGAACATCTATATTATAATCATCACATAATTTTGAATTTTTGAAAACATTCTATTTTATGAATCGGGTAAACCTGACTGACGGAATTGTTGATGAAAATGATAGTGTATGATCGTTGCAAAATAAGCTCACAGTATACAATCCATGTGAGCGTTTTGAATTAATTGCCGGAGGTTTTTTTTCGCGGGTTAAACTGGTCAGCGGTTTCGTTTCGTCGTTCGGAGGTTGTTGTCGCTATCGTATTTCACAAATTCACGATTTATTTCACAACACGATGTTGAGCATTGCTAGGTACCTACTATTAGTATGGTCATTAAATTGTTATAATTATTTAAGAAAGTACCTAACAAACACAGAAAACCTTAATTAATATGTATGTTTTATAATAATTATAATACTATTTGAGACCATAATATGTTTTGTTCGCTTTTGAAACATAATACGTCATTGCATCTCAAGAAATGTCCACTAAACAGGTTCGATTGTGAATTTCAGACTTTTGGTATATTATTATAAAAAATGATTTTCCAACTCTTGTACACGCAAATAGACGCATAGTAGTTGCACTCATGTAAATGACTATATTATCCATGCGGTGAGCTACGCGTAACCAAAATCCAACGATATTCTAGCAAGCATGAAACCTGTTTTATTACCGTTTTCGTGCTATACTATCGTATGCGAGATCATCTTGTACCATGTATGTAAATGTAAAACCACGATTGATCACTCACGCTGACACTGCACGACTATATGGAATTTCCACCCTGAATTGGTGCCTAAACTTAAATAATTATTTACTCGACAATATCACCAGGTATATACCAGGTCTATATTGGCGAGTATATTTTATCCATTCAGGAATACAATATTTTATGGTTGAAGGGAAATCTAAGATTTTTTATAAGCTTCTTTAGTCATTACCTACTCTAAAATATTTTCAACATTGATCAACCTACTTATTATTAAATATCATGGTGTTCACGAGTTCTCTAGAAAAATGTGAATCATAGACAATTCGAATTGAATGTGTTACCGGTAGGTATCTATCAAATTGGTCAAAATATTATTTTTTGAGTAAATTTAATTGTAAAAAAAAAATAAACAACCGTACAAGTCCCTACCTAACGCAGAAAAAACTCTGGACACAAGAAGTACCTATACGTCTTATAAACAGGACAACGATGACGATGATCATCGATCGTCTTAAACATTATATATAGTTATATCCTATACACTATTACTCACCGCTGTACATGTCTTTTTGAACTAGAAACGAAACGTTCTTGTTGTCGTCGGTCGACAAAAAAGCGTAACGCCGCTGGTGCTCCGGCTGTCCCGTGGGCGACGAGTCGTTCTGATTGCTACACTCGTTGAATCCGCTTCCGTTTAGGGGTGCGAAGTGTCTGGATTCGCACTTCCGGTGCGCCAGGACTTGTTGCGGCCCGATCGCGACGAAAGCGACTACACACTGCAGGACGGCCAGCAGTGGCCATCGTCGAAATGACACGGACATGATGGTCGGATGTGTCCGAAAACCGTTCGACTTGTGTGCGGATCCAAAGGCGACGACGTGCCCAAAGGCGACGGTCCCAAAACCTACACGGGCGTCGGCTCTGGCGGTCGGGCGAGTGTACCTGCGGACGTGTATTCGGGTATATCACACGATATCAGCACTGCGCGAATGACATGTAATGGTACGTGTCCTAGGTGAATTATGATCGTCGACTGCGGTCGCCTATCTCGCGGCTGACGGTTTTATTAAATTATTATTTTTATAAGTGTTGTGTCTTGCCGTATCGCAGAGAACAATAATTTAGCAGAGAGATTAATGTTATTATGATTTTTTTGTTTTTTTTTAATCGCAATTTATTATCGGGCTTGATATATCATTTATATTATTCGCCGGTCGTACATAGCCGGCCATCGACTGACGTTCGTCAGTTATCGCGGCGATATATTATTATTATTTAGGCGGCGGCGGCTGTGTCTGTCCACGTGCCCCTCTATAATAGTAAACACGCATCTCTTTCACTTTCTTCGGTTCTTCCAAGGTGGACGACGATGCCGCCGCCGCCGCCGACTGCACGTCATCGTCTCATTCGTCGTACACTGCTGCACAGGGCCCCTGTGCCCCAGTATAATACAATATTATATTAAAATAAACATTATTCCGTGACGATTGGCGTTAGTACTTTAGATCGTGGACTCGGACCTTGCGAAACGAGTCCAGCAGCCGCAAGCTAATCTACCTTCGAAAAACGATGGCAAAAAAATATTTTTTATTCGAGAGGAAAAACACATTTTGTTAATAACGTCGGAATGGCGGTGGAGGATACCTAACAACTCCCACCTCCCACGTCGTAAGATTGGCTTCGCCGAGTCCAGGATTTTCGATATTTACACAGACCATATTGTAATATGAGTAACTACGTCACATATCGATGCATACACATGATATGATTGTAGTATTATGTCACGATGTAGGTGTTTGAACAATTCATGATCTGCAACAGGCGTGGATCTAGAAATCTGAATTGATGATCAGAAAATATAATTTTAGTACACAATAGAATATATAGAATATAGATAGTATTATATAGATGAGATTTTAAACAATACATTAAACATTTTAATAGTATTTTATACTTATCGATTTTAAGACAAAAATGCATTACTTATAGCTATTATAAATTAAATGACCTAAATGTCCTACACGAGTAAGTTGTGCTCATAACATGTATAATTAAAATACAGCGAGGACTACGTTTTCGAGCATAATGTACTAAACTGTATCGTACCTAAAGATAGTTCAATCCTTGGAAATTGGTATTACTTAGACATTAGAGACATTTATCATTGAGTCAATTGTTGGTTAAAATGTTAAAATTTTAAGATTCTACAATTTTCTATAAATAAGCTGGTTTTCTAATTTTTGAGGTTTTTCTTAATTTTTTTCTTCAATTTTAACTCAAATTTATGTAATCGTGTTATCTTCACATTATCAAGAAACAAACATTTTATACTTGTCAGTTATTTTATAGTATATTTTGTTTTCGAATTAATATTTCCAAAAACAAATAGGTACTGAGATTGAGATAGTAAAAAATTAATATTAACTCCTTGGCATAGATACCATGACCAATATAGAGCATATTTAAAAGAGAATTCTAAATTACTACTTAACCTTTTTTTAATATGATAGACAAATAACAATGATGTGAAAATATTTTAATTGATTGTAAACTATTAACGTATTATACAATAAGTGAGAACTTCTCGCTGAGAAATAATAAGTACCTAAATATCTTATTGTTCCTATAATATAATTTATTTTTTAATACTACAAATTATATTAGGTATGTTATTACAATGGAAAAGAAACAAATTGATTATTACAATATTACGTCTTAATTTCGTAGGTCAAACTTGGGAATTGAGATGAAAAACGTATACGAATGCGATCTCAGTATAAAACTAATTTTTTTTTATGTTTTGGTATATTCAAGTACAGAAGGGTCATAAAAGCGTTAAGCGTAAAACAAGTGTATAACGCATTAATTTATAGTAATATTATAAGTCAGCATTTATAGATATTTTACTAACACAATAATGTGACCCAAACAATTACGTAATTTGTCCTGCTTTAGGTACCAGTATAATAACATTAAGTTGATAACATTAGTACTTAATTTAGTTCAGAGCACGGTTCGCCGTGTTCTATACTCTTCCATGTGACGAGTTGGGTACTGCTTCTCAAATTCCTTTTATATAATATTCCACTAACCATAGATACAAATATATGATGGTCGCAATTAATTCAATACCTAATGACTACTTATAACATAAACGGAGACTTAAATGCTAAATCCCATCTCCATTAATGGCTCTTGATTCTATCACTCCAGACGAAAATTTACTTGATTCAAGTTCCTTTTCACTCCTTATACCTACTTACGCCCACATAAATATTGTAACTGGTAATAATAATAATTCTATAAAAACCGGCCAAGTGCGAGTCGGACTCGCGCGCGAAGGGTTCCGTACCATTATCTATAAGAACGACAGCAAAATCACGTTTGTTGTATGGGAGCCACCCTAAATATTTATTTTATTTTATTATTAGTATTTGTTGTTGTAGTGGCAATAGAAATACGTCATCTGTAGAAATTTAAACCGTCTAAGTATCACGGTTCATGAGATACAGCCTGGTGACGGACGGACGGACAGCGAAGTCTAAGTAATAGGGTCCCGTTTTATCCTTTGGGTACGGAATCCTAAAAAAGATCCAGGGAGACTTACTAAATTTAAGAATTTAGTCAAAAACAAAAATATTCCACAGAAAATTATACAAACCGATAGAAAGGGCCTAACAGAAAATTAACTTTAATGATTATTTTGTCGGAAAAATTAGTTGTCTGACTAATACCAATGTAATTTTGACAAAAAAACCTTGAATAATTTTGATTATCAAAGGTACAGTATATTATCATTATTTACTATAATTACTATAATTTATGATCCAAAGTCAGATGGTTGTAATACATAACAAGACATTATTATAATTGACAACAGAGTACTTAACAAAGTTGTTAAATGGTAATACAAGTTACAAAAGATCCCGACTCCCGAGTGATGAGTCAAATAGTCAAAATAGTAACTTGTGTGTTGTAGGTATCTTATTCTAGATTTTACTTTGTGCACTTAGTCGTTGTCCAAATCTTGAAGTAGATCTTTTTTTGTTATATGGCTGGAGCTGATGTTATCTCCTCAAATAAAAACAAACAAAAATTATTTACAAACAGACATTGTAAGACTCATGTACATAACTACATGTTAAAACACGATATAAATAAAAAACATGTTCGTTGGCGTTGTTGGAAACAATTGTAAAAACTTTATACTATAACTTTGAAAATCAGTAATAAACGTAATGGTAGTTGTCAGAGTATTGTAAATTAAAGCACAGAGGTGCTTTTATAATTGTTGTTAAAGTCACACGAGAAAGTCTATTGCTTATAAATGCTGTTGTATTTTAGATAGATTAGCTATTAAGACTTCGAATAATATTTTAAGTATGTTCGAAATTAGATTTCCTTAGAAATATTATTCTAAACGGAGCAAAAGAGTTAGAAATTATTTCTATACATTATGCAAAGTGTAACTGAAAATAATAAATACTGATACCACTGCACAATATACTAATAGACGAATTCCTGCTCTATTTCCATACACAACGTAGTATTAAAATATGGCGACTGTAAAAGCAACCAAAAGAAACCAAACAAAACGCGAAGGTTAAGAGGATGTTATACCTACATGTGTTGTCTCTGTCTTACGAGTGCGTAACATGCCAAATTTTAAGCTCAGCAGATCACGTTTAGCTCAGTTAGTTTAAAAATTAGAGTGAATTGACCTCTTATTAAAAATAAATGTAAGATTATAACGGGAGGCTTCTCTTGAGCTTTTTAGTATATTTCAATTTTAAAGAGAGTTATGAGTATTTTAAGTAGTACAAAAAATTTACAATTTTTAAGCTAAATGAGCTAAACGTGATCTGCTGAGCTTAAAATTTGGTATGATACGCACTTGTAAGACGGAGACAACACATGCGGGTATAACGTCCTCTTAAAACTATAGGTTTTTTAGTTTTTGAAATTAGTCAGTTTCTGATATTTACAGTCTGTGCTCTTAATAAAAATGCATTTGGACGTTGGAGTAAACGAACATAAAATGGTGCAAAGGGACATTAGAGCACCTCCCCCTTAAAAAATGAAAAATATATACGCTAATAATAGATATGTATAAATAATTTATATTTGTATGAATAATGTAAATGTTTAGCTTTAGTTAATTATTAACAACAAAAATGTGTGTACTGAAAATCGAAGACATTTTAGAAATTATTATTTAAATGCAATATAATGTAGGTACCTGTACCTGTAATATCTATTTTAAAATATTTATATAATACTTTAGGTACATACTTAAAAACATGTATATAGGTATACTTACCTATATTTATTTTACTTTGATTTTATTATGTAATATATTTCGTTACCTATTTTATTTCAATTGTTATTTATTCCAAGTTACTTATTTAAAGGACAATGCATATTTTTCTTTTGGACTTATATTCCATGGCCTATTTTTATTTGACTCTTTTCTCGGAGCTTTTCCGGGGTCTTGACATAGCTTATTTCATAAATATGTGTATTATAATTCATCATACGCTTCACATATAGAACGCTCCGCCGCTTAAATGACAAGAAACGCTCTAATATTACATATGTATACTAGCTGACCCCGCAAACGTTGTTTTGCTATATAAATGAATTCTAATGAATATTTTGGTAGTCAAATAAAAAATAACTAAATTATTGTAAGTGTGTGGGGATGTGGTAAGCTGGTATTTAACTGAAAGAGGAATCGAGCACTGTGAACGATGACGACCTATTTAAATAACAAAACCGATAAGTAAACTTTCAATTTCCGGTAGTTGCACTTTTCCTGGCGTTCAACACATACCGGCCACCTCATTTTTGAATTTAAGCGCATTACAATGCGGACATTCCTCGTCCATAGCACCAAATCTCTACTTTAAAATGAGGGTAATATCGGGCCTATTACGCGAATGCTAGACGAAGGAATGAATTGGATGTAAATGCTCGATGTACTTGTTGGAGTTGTCGGTTATTTGCTCTGTGTGTGTGTCAAATACGAATCGACTCACTTGTAATTGTCTTTTTAAATTTGTTTCAGCTCATGCCTCACGCAATCGCACCATGTTCACACTCATATTTTCATTATCCTGTTGGATTTGTTCGTCTGTTCTTTGTGCTGCTCTTTCGCATGGTTGTACTTTTAGTCGTTCGATGGGCCAAATCAGACCCTTTGCGTCTTGCTGGAATCATACAAAACATAGAAATCGATCCGATTGAAGTACTTAATGCAGGAAAACAGTATACTGATAATACAATTATTTTATTAACCTTTCACATATAAGTGATTATTGACCTTTCTAATATATAAGAGAAGAAACTTGTTGTGTTCGACCGGCCTATTCAACGGCCGAGTCGTTTCTAATGAATACGTTAAATGCCATAAATATACAGTCAAAAATATTATATCTACATGCCGATAAAAACGGACAAAGAGGTCAGGTAGCAGGTTGGTGGAAACCCGAGGGTCGTCGCCTATATATAGGTATACAATTTACACATTAAATATTAAAAAATATTTGTGGTGAGCCACCTTTTACTCTTAGGGGCATGAAAAATAGTTAACATCACTCTCTGAAACCTACTGAAAATACACACAAAATGTCATGAAAATCAGTCTAGCCGTTTCGGAGGAGTTTGGCAACATACATTTTTCATATTGTGACACGAGATTTTTATATATTACATATTGTTTAAGGTAAGTGTCACAATATCAACACAGTTTTCATTGCTATATTAGTTTAGGACGTTAACGCGTTTTCTAACGATTATATTAATTAGATGTATTTAAAAAACAAATATTGGAAAATATTAGATACATGCACAGTGAACACAAATAGTAATAAAAAATTTGAAATAATAATTATCTTACAAGGGCAACACTTTTGATTATTGAATGACCTGATATTATAATGAGGTGTGCAACAACTTATAGTTGTACTTGGAATCTACACACCACATGGAGAAGATAATATAGCTTTTTTAGGTAAAATATAAAAACATATTATAGTTATGTGCAATTTCAAATTTTTCTTGGGGGGGGGGGGGGGGCTGAACAAATTTATGCCAAACAGACTAGCTGGTGGAAAATCCTCATTCCTCTCATACATCGGGATAGTTTACCTTAAATTTTTTTTTATTATTTTAAGATTTTGACGACACATTTTATTGATAAGTTGTCATTTGTTATTATTACTCAGGCCTGTCCTGAGAGGGGGTGTAGGGTTTGTCACTCCCACACAAATCTACGCGACAATCAACAATATAAACTTAGAATACAGAATAAAATAACCAATAACATAAATAGTATTTGATTTTTTAAGCAATTATTTTTATTTTTATAATTATATATGCTGATCCCGTGCACTTCGTTGCCCGTTAAAAATGCCATCCCTACATAAGAGACTTGATTGTGATAATACGAGCAGTATAATATCAGGTAGGCAGTTTACCTGTGGTAAATGTTGTTTAGCCATATAAATTATTTCGAATGAATATTTTTGTAAAATAACTTAAAAATCCAAAATTATTGTGGGTGTGTGGGCCGTGGGGACGTTGTATACATGTATATGATTGAAAGAGATATGGAGCACTGTGAACGATGACGGCCTATAAAAATAACAAAATAACTAAATATTCATTTTTTTTCTAGTCCTCGCCGCCTATAAATTAAATTTGTAAAAATGAATGTGGTTCGTTTGGAATCGATTAGGTTGCCCTCAATCCCACTTTGTGTTAAACTTGGACTTTGATTATGACTGTTGTATTAAATTGCTGATATATCATTTGCTTAAATGATGACACCTTAACCCATTCGGCCACCACTGCTGTTGGAATTATGGGAGCGCAATAAGATTGTTAGCCCATGTAGTAAACCCACGTTAACATTTTAATTATTTTTTAATTTTTTATTTTTATGTCAGCAATATTATACATGGATGGATGGATAATTTTTAATTTGTTTTTTTACTATGACAACAAAAAATTTAAACAATATTGGCATTTACTTTTTCTAATAATGATTAGATTAATTAAACATTCATGTTATAAGAAATGCAGCTATTAAATAAATTATTGCTAATTAGTAAAATAAAATAAAATTGTACACACGCAGTTCTTCTGGTAACGCCAGCAACGGAAAATTTCATATAGATAAAACCTAAATTTTATCTCTACTATCGACTATTGCGTTCTGTGTATAGAGAGGGTATTTAAGGCTATAAATAAAATCAAACGGAACAAAAACGATACGAAAATTATCACTTTACAAAATTTAAACTTTACTTTATATAGTGAAACATAATATTCATACCTTATATTCAATACATTACATAATTCTCCATGTTGATCAATTTTTTTGGTGTTGGCCCGGAGCCCCATTTTAACGGTTAATGATGTCATATGGACAATTGTATGAGCTAAAGCTTGCTGTAGCTTTTTCAATTCGAAAAAACATTCCGGAACTCAAAAAATAAATCATCAAAAAAATTTTAAAGGATTTTTCCAAAATTTTTTTTTTGTAAAAACCTCTCCTGACAATTAAGAACAATTAAAAAAATTGGAGCCAAATCGGCCCAGCCGTTCGCAATTGATGAGTTGTTATACATTTTTGGCTCCATTTATATATATTTATATAATATATAGATATATAAGTTAAAATGTAATTCTATGGAACTTATATAAAGAAAAATTAGTTAATTTAGTTTCAAAATAAATTAACTCGTAAGTTAGAAGTTACTTTAAAAAAAAAAACAAACTCATTAAGTAAGAAGTTACTTATGGAAATAAAAGTAACTCGTTAAGTAACTTAGTTAAAATTAACTTAACTTTTTAACTTAACTTTACATTTTCAACTCTTTAATGCCCAGCTTTGCAAATCGCAATAGTTTTAAAGAATTATTTCAGGATCTTTAAAAAAAAAACTTGTCAATCTTATAACTGCAGATTCCAAATACGTTATAGGTAGTAAGTATTTTTTGTAGGTTCATAATCTCGTATGATAGGTTTATCGTATATGTAACAATATAGTATGTTTAAAATTGGAATTGAAAATACTGTATGTACTTACAATAGAATGAAGATTAGAATCATTCTACAATGACAAAATAGTAGGAACTTAATAATCAATTTTGTTAAATGTTCAGCCAGCCACTAATCTAAAGGGGGAGGGAGGGAGCTAAGTGAAAATTGTGTATACTATGTATACATTTATACAATAAATAGTTCATATATATGTACGTCTTAAATTCTACAAATTTAAAATATAAATAAAAATGTTAATATTGCTATCTAATATTATCTATAATGTCACGTTATATAATCTATTATGTACTAAAATTGTAATTAAATATTTTCTGGAAAAAAATGTAGCTCCCCTCCCTCCGACTATGTATGCCAACCCATTCCAGATTGCTTGATCTGTGCCAGTGTTCAACGGTCCCTAGGTCCACATACATTGCGATACAGATCTGCAGCACCTTAGCATAACCAGATAACCTTAAGAGTCAGCTCTTGCAATAGAAAATATGATAAGTAAATATAAATCAATTTTCATGTTAACAATAAATAACAATACCTAGTCAAATAGATCGTTAAATAGATTCGTTAACAATCGAATTATATCATACTTTCAACATTCACTGTGATATTAAAATGTTCAAGTCTCAAGGTTTAAGTATTGATATTTATCTTGTCACATATAAATCGTCATCTTATATTAATATATACAATTATACTGTCTATCAACAATAAAATATGTCTATGCCAATGTTATAATGTTTACAAACAAAATAAAGTTATCAATGTTTATGTTATAAGGCATAATAATTTTTTTTTTATATTGGACATTGGTATAATATTTGAATAATACAATTTACATTTGATACTATGAAACAGAATTTTATATTACTATTTACTAATCGTTTGAACCTTTATTTCGATTTTTAATACTTATGTTTATTTTTTCTATGGATTGTATATTTGTTGTTTTTAATTCGATAATATTGATCACGCCAAAGTTTCTAGGTTGATCGACAAGTTACTAAGATTACAGGTAAAACTTTTGTTTAATTTAAGAAAAAAAATAAAATTCGCTTACGGTGTACCTAATTCAAAAAATATTTGAACTCAAAACATCGATAACACCTTCGTCCATATTCAAACTTATAGAAGAAAAGTAATCATCATAATGTCTTAATCTCTATTAAATAAATTTCTTTGAAATTGCATTCATCTTTGAGATACATTTCCCGAGTCGAGTACCGAGGTACTTACCGAGACGCTTCGTCATTCATTTTTTGGGCTGTTGCACAAGTTTAGCTTGTAATCAAATTTCAAAGCTTATACTGTTTATATTAGGTATCAATTTATAATGTTCGTGTGTAATCTATTTTCGAGCAATTTATAGCTGAAATAGGTAGGCATCTATGATATACACGCATAGCACCGTTTCTACCCACGTGTCATATTATGCAAGCCACTAAATAATATCAAGTATACTCGTACATTTTGGGAGCATCGATTATTTAATATTATGTTATGCGTATCAAAATATAACATTAATATGGTAAATTTATTTGTTTCCAGTTTTAACCAATCGACCGGTTACAGCTGACACTGCATCCAACTGTTTATGCGAGTTCGACGCTGCATGATTGAAGGATGAAAAAAATATTTTGAAAATTTGAACTACACATGACCGTAAATTGGCAAATCGAACACATGTGACACGCGTTCACCTTTATTGTATATATACGTTGCAATATATTATCGGCATAGTACAATTATGTCTATAGATACTTAACGTTGCATACCTGTGTCGTTAAAAATAAAATACGATTTCATCTGATGGCCTTGCCGAATATATTTTGTATAATTTTCCCAAATATTATAATATAATATATATACATATATATATATATATATGCGCTGCAGTCGCTAGTCTTCAGATTGTGAGCACAGACATCGGCGGTTAGGTGGGTAGGTATGTATCGTATTGATTAGACTGCACATTATGTACAAAAAGTTAAGCACCTGAGCTATAAGGTGCCTTCGGAGATCGGAAGGTCGGTGAATCGAGACGTGGTTGAAGGACCCGTTCTCCTTGGGCTTGACTTGGTAAAGCATCCGACATCAAATCTATGTCATACAGACATAACACGTTTTCTTAAACAACTGACACGGTTCGAGTGCATCGTGGTTTACTTATATGCTATCGGGACAACATATTGGGCAATACATAG